TTAATCAAATAACAAGGCTCTTCTAAACACAGAGCTTTATTTCCTGAGCAGTAGTCTTCAGATAAGAATATCCTGCACATATTAAGATTATACATAGATCAATCGAAGCATGTGGATCTTCAACTACTGTGATTCTGTGATGGAAACCAGTGTGGATTACATGGTAAACTTGTTGGTGCATTATCTGTTGCATTAAAAAGCAATGCATTAATTAGTTCAAATGATACTTAGAATTTTCTGCATTTAACATTTACTTTAAGCATTTTCAGATAAAGTACTGACATTTCATGTGGTCATTTCTTTCATTATACCACAAACCAAAAGTACAAATGACCCAAATAAAAATAGCAAGCAGATCATATAGTAAGAAGGTGATCTTCCATAAAAAAAAAACTACTTTGCAATTTACTGTGGTCAGTCTTTATAGATTTGAATATTTCTTACAAGCAGTAAATAAAGCCTCCCTCACACCTTTCTATTAGGCATTTCAGTGGGCTACTAATGCACCAGACTAGACAAAATTAGCTGCACTATTGTTTGATGTAGTGCATTAATGTCTGTTGGGTGTCTAACAATGTGAATGGCATTGCATCAAACCAATGTACATAAGGTGCAGTACTGCAAAGCAGAGGTGTGAAGCCTGCCAAAAACAAACCCTCATTTACCTTTCTAGGTGCAGTCACTGTGGATCAATACCTTCTTAAAAGGTACAGCAGAAGCCCTGAAACCATTGTCTAAACCAGCTTCCCTTAACCTGCCCCCCCCCAGTAGTGACTTGACCTCCTTCCTGCTTTTTAATTTCTTGAGTGATATAGCAGGTGCTGTGGAGGAGAAAACATAGTGAGTCGATTTCATGAGAGCGCTGACTTTACACCATTGTTTCCTCTGTGCTTCTGCTGTGAACTTGGAGGATGAATTACTCCACGGCACCTGCACCTACAGAGGTCTGTGATGGCTTGATTTATTGCTCATTTATTGTTTTAAAATTTGTAAATTCCTGAATATCCATAGCTTAGCCATAGCTACTCGAAGATGTTTCCATGTTAGATGTTGGTAATGACATTGTTTAGAGAAACTGATTAGGGGAGTTTGTCCATAATACATTTTTATGCTATCTATTGGCCTGGTGAATTATGAAAAGGCAATGCCGGATCTCAAGCATGTTGTTAAATATAAGCACTAACTGCTTCATAGAAGACTTCAAGTTGTTTTATTCCTTTTTATTAGTCTATGAGGCTGTCCTCTATATTGGAGAACCAATTACAAAGTTTTATTTTTTTTTGGAAATAATTTGAAGTGGGGAAATTAAACTTCTAAAAAGTAATTTTTTTTTAAACCGTAACTGGGAAACCTATTTACATCCAGCCTATACTGCTGCTGCTTGATGGATGTGTTTGCACTTTGCAGCACTGCAAATTATAAACAGTGCTGGCAAGCAGATCCAGAGCTACAATCATTTAAAATACTGTTCTTTGTTTTAAAATGACTTTCTTAAGCCCAGTTTAGGCATTACAGTATGTTTCATCTTTCCCTGTGATGCATAAAGGCAGCCTGTCCTCAGATACTGTATTGTGCACTGAAGAAGCTTACCATCTTTTTAGTCTTATTAGCCCTTATAGGTACTGCTGAAGACAGTAGTCTGGGTAGATTTTTTTTTACTTAACAGCTAAAATTTTTTCTTGGAATAGTATAAAAATTTCACAATCGGGATGCGTTGAAGAGGAGGTACTAAGCCTCCTAAATATCTAAATCAGTGGTTCTTAACCTGGGTTCGATCGAACCCCAGGGGTTCGGTGAGTCAGTCTCGGGGGTTCGGCGGAGATGACCCACACCCGACTCATATGATTTGTGATGACATGCCCCGCTTGTCCATCATTGGCTGCAGGTGGTCACGCAACATCGCTTAGCCCAGTGGTCGGCAAGCCGCGGCTCTTGTGTGCCGGGGCGCCCGCTCCCCTCCCTCCTCTTGGGCGGCAGGGACTCAAATGCAATGATTGGCCAGTCTCGCTGCCACTCACATCCTGATAGCCAGTGATTGGCTGTCAGGATGTGTGTAGGCGGGGCAGCGTGACGAATGTGAGAGGAGCTAGGCTCCTCTCACAGTCCGCCCTGAAGACCGGAACGGCGCGGGAATACAGCGAGAGGAACGCGCGGAGCAAAGGTAAGTGAATTGACACAGGGGGGACTTGGGGACTTAATATGGGGGATGAATTAATATGGGGAATGAAATACTATAGGGGGGATGAATTACTATATGGGGGATGTATTACTATGGGGGATGAATTACTATATGGGGGATGAATTACTATATGGGGGATGAATTACTACATGGGGAAGGAATTACTATAGGGGGGATGAATTACTATTAGGGGGATGAATTACTATATGGGGGGATGAATTACTATGAGGGGATGAATTACTATGGGGGATGAATTACTATGGGGGATGAATTACTATATGGGGGATGAATTACTATGGGGGATGAATTACTATATGGGGGATGAATTACTATATGGGGGATGAATTACTATGGGGATGAATTTTCATACCGTTTGTTACAACATATCTTTGCGAGCAATCCTTTTCGAGGATGCTGGACATAAAGACGAAGAAAAGGAACAGACTTTGTTGCGAAAATGACATGAGAGTGGCACTTGCCAAGGTAATGCCGCGCATTTCTGAACTGGCCTCTGAAAGACAACAGCTGAAGTCACACTGATTTGCGGTAAATATTCATTATTTTGTTTTTGTGTGAAAATCATGTTTTAATGGTTTTGTTCTTAATGGTTTTGTTCATTTTGTGCACCTATGTATAAATATATACCTATGTTTTGAATTTTTTAAAAATCATATTTTATTTTTCCAATTAAGAAGGGTTCGGTGAATGCGCATATGAAACTGGTGGGGTTCAGTACCTCCAAAAAGGTTAAGAACCACTGATCTAAATCTAAAAATTCAAGGCTTGTTTTGGTTTGTACCTAAACCCATAAAAATGTAAGGTATTGCAGCATAATAGTCTATAGATGAGGTGCCTTCATTCGATATTTTTTTCTTTTTTTTTCACCTGGTAATCCTGCCAGTAACATGCTTTCTATCCTAGGGTGACAAGATTCAATTATTAATTTAATCTATATCTATGAAGACTCTGAGATCACCCTAAGTTACTTGCTTTTGATTGGACTGCAAACACCTCCCCCTTTCATGTTCATAACAAAAAGTTAGGCATTCTAAAGTCCCTGACAGTGAAGTAGATAAGGCTGATAACAATGCTTCATATTTCTGTGCAACAGACTTGGATTGTAGAGGGGTGTTAGAAGTGCACTGGATTTCTGCAATAGGTATTTTTTTTTGCAGCACCACCCCATCTCCTATTCTTCATAACTGGAGAGGTGTTTTGTAGTTACCAGATGTTAGCGAGGCAGGGTAACCACCTTGAAAAGTTAGGACACTGGTAAACGTCTTTTAACTGCAGCATTTCTAAGAGACATAATGGGAAAATGTGCATATACTGGAGAGATGTACCAATATTTTTTGACAAATAATGAGGCATGAGCACAAAACAACAAATAAAGGAGCGCTCCCAACCCTGTGGAAGTCAATAGCCACAAGCCCAGGAACAGTAAAACATTCACTTTAATTTTGTTTTAAAAAGCATGACATTTAGTTGTGTCCACATTGATGCATCACCAAGCCAGTGGAGCGGAGAACCACATATTTCCAGAAGTTTGAGGATGACACATGATCATGGACCCAACCATTGGTTACTCCGCCCAGGAGCCTCAGGACAGAGGGAAGGGTGTGTGTGGAAGGCAGCCGGAGAGATCACTGAGATGGTGCATCCGCCGGAAGTCACATGTCCCAGATCTGGTTGTTATGTCATACACCTGGCGAGAGACCTCCTAAACAAGGGCTGGTGAGGACAAACTGGAAACCTAGGGGAGCACTCAAACCATGTCAAACCAAAGGAGAGATTTAGGAGGATATTAGGAGGATAACTGAAATTGATGTTGGTTTGGATCCAGAGACTTATCTCTTTCATTGTACAGAGTATTCTGTGAACAAATATAAGGGGACGGGTATTTGGTATTATCTAAATGCAGCAAAAGGGTTAATACCCAAGTTCTGGCGGAAAGTAGAGGTGCCGAGGGAGGAGGACTGGATGGAGAGAGTTGATCAGATCTGTAGGATGGAAAAAATCATTTATATGCAAGAAGATAGGATGGGATCATATTACCTGCGATGGGGCAAGTGGGAGGAGTTTAAGTTAAAGTTGAAATAGAAGTGGACAGAGTGTATAGCAAGAATATCTCCCTTATATCTAAATGGAAGTGGCAAAAGTATTGTAGGGTAGGTGACGGGAAAGGGGGGGGGGGGGGAGGGGAGGGGAGGAGGGAGTGGGAAAAGGAGATTAGAAATGAATAAAAGTTATTTGTTGGTTTTATGTGATTATAAGTGCAATATGTATTTTTCTGAAAATTTGTTAATAAATATTTAAATTAAAAAAAAAAAAAAAAACAAAGGAGAGAAACCGATCATCATGATAACCTGTTTCTGGGACTTGCCCCTTCCTCAGCTCATGGGCACTCCTACATGTCATGCTTTTTAACCCAACATTAAAGTGCATTTCAAATTTAACTGTTCCTGGGCTTGTGACTCTATTGACTTCCACAGTGTTGGGAACGCTCCTTTATTTGTTGTTTTGTGCTCATGTTTCATTCCTGGTCAGATGAGTTGTTGGAGCTGCTCATACTGTGGTTATCTACATATCCCCTGGAACCTCATTTTGCTTGGTATTTGCACTGATTTTACTTTTTAATGTATTTTTTGCCCTTATTGTATAAACTACATGTTAAGTAAGAGGTTTGTAAGAAAAGCTTAACCACCTTCCGCCCGCCCTATAGTACAATGATGGGCGCAAGGTGGTTCTCTCGTTCTGATAGGACGGCATATGACGTCCTACCATTCTCGCTGCGCATGCGCGGCTCAGGGAGCGCGCAGCGCACGATCTTCGGTGCGCTGTGTCCCTCGGACACAACGGATCATGGAAAGAGCCGAAGATGTCGGCTCGGTCATGTGATCAGCTGTGTCCAATCACAGCTGATCACATGTAAACACGGAAATGCCGGTTATCGGCATTTCTCTCCTCTCAAGCTGTCATGCTGACAGCTCGAGAGGAGAGGAGAGCCGGTAATCGGCTTTCCGCTGAGGGGACATGTACACTGATCAGGGCACTGATGATGAGTGTGGCCCCAGAAGTGCCACCTGTCAGTGCTCATCAGTGTCACGTGCCACATTAATGCCACATACCAGTGCACATCAATGCCACATATCAGTGCCCATCTGAGCTACGTTTCAATGTCACCTATCATTGCTGCCAATCAGTGCCACTTATCAGTGCCAGTCAGTGTCGCCTATCGGTGCGCATCAGTGCCAGTCAGTGCCGCCTATCAGTGCCATTTATCACTGTTATGTATCAGTGCTGCCTTTCAGTGCCCATCAGTGATGCCTATCAATGCTCATCAGTGCAACCTACCAGTGCCTCCTCATCAGTGCAGCCTATCAGTGCCCATCACTGCAGCCTCATTAGCGCACATCAGTGTAGGAGAAAAATCACTTATTTACAAAATTGTATAACAAAAACTAAGAAAAAACTTGTTTTTTTCAAACTTTTCAGTGGTTTTTGGTTAAGAAAAAATAAAAATCCCAGAGGTGATTAAATACCACCAAAAGAAAGCTCTAGCTGTCTCAAAAAAATGATAAAATTTAATATGGGTACAGTGTTGCATGACTGCGCAATTGTCATTCAAAGTGTGACAGCGCTGAAAGCTGGAAATTGGCCTGGGCAGGAAGGGGGTATGAGTGCCCTGCAGGCTAGTGGTTAAAGGCGAAGTTCCCCTTTAGGAACATGTTAGAATTGTATTTATTGCACTCCTAGTCCATTGACACTTTCTCCAGCTCATTAACTGAAAGACCAACCCTGGGTTCAGACAGAGAGCTGGGGGAAGTGTCTGCAGGAGCCTGATATTGAACAGTGCTTTGCAGGTGTATGCGGAAAGAAATAATGCACTTTTTTTTTTTTGAAAAAAAATAGCATTTTATTTCCTTAAACTAAAGAGAAGCCTTTAGTCAATGCAACAACTGGATAGTTGATGCTGGCTAGATGTCAAACAAGGGTAAGCAATAAAAGCAAGTCTCCTGTCTTAACTCCTGAAAATTCTAGTATGTACTGCACAGTTTTCTTAAAATAAAAAAAAATACAGAAGTTAAAGCTAAGCTACGAGAAAATTAAAAAAAAAAAAACACAATTTATTTCATGTGCTACAATTATGCATACTTTAGTACAAATGCAGGCCAGGCTACAATAGTTAGATGGGCAGGGTAGCAGCAGGCAGTTGATAGCACCCTGCCACTCAGTAAGCAACACTGCTATCCCTGGAGCTGCGAACGGACGGACGTAATTTGGAAACTAGACGGTTCTGAATAGGGTATCTCAGTCACTAGTGGACAGATTTCAGTTGCCATGGCTGCCAAGTGTTGGAGATTTTTCGAACCTTGCTCTAATGAAATGCAAGCACACACATAGACATGTCCATGTTCTTTATCTGCTACCTATTTAGTATTTTTAATGTAAACATATGGTTATTTTGAAGAATGATGAAATGGGTTTGCGACTTTGTCTGTGTGCTTGTTCCCAAATATGCAGAACCATGTTTGACACTTGGAAGAAAATCTCCTGTCCGTTTATGATAGTAGAGTTTTATTTTTTTGTTTTTTTATAGTATCAAGTATAGTGCAGCGCTACATCAAACCGAAATACTTGTTATAACGAAAACGCATTTTTTAAACAAAAGTGAAAATAAAAAATCCAGCATGCAGGTAATTTAAATACAGTTTGTGTTACATGAATAATAATTCAAATAATGATCACAGACATTACAAAACAAGTCCCATAATAGTGCTTCAGTATTGTTGTGTTTTATAATTCCAAACACCTCTTCTGGGGATTATATCCCCTGAAAAAGTCACATAGGCATGTTGCAACACACAGGGCAGAGCTGGTGATGTCCGCATGCTAACTAGGAAGTGTATAAGCACTAGGAAGAGTGGTGATGTACGCCAACCATTTCTTAAGGGACGTTATCCATGCACAGGATTGATGCACGTTAAAATGTGAGTGTTTTTATGCATTTTAAATAAAGCAATGATAGCCATCTGTTTATTTTGAGTGGATATAAGTAGAAGAGCAAAAAAAAGAGGAACTGGGAGGCTCTCAACATTTTGAAGAAAGAGCAATACTCCTGGGGGATGGAGAGCTCGAGATCTAAGACATTGTTTTCCCTGGTGGGGAAAGCTGTTTTTGAGCTATATGATATATAGTTAAGTATTTAAAGAGTATGTAAACCCAACATTTAAAATTCCAGGTATGTGCCTGCTGTACCTCATATGTACTTTTCTCTTTGTATTGTTGCCATTGTGTTCCAGCCAATCCCTCTTCTTTCTTAAAAAAAAAAAAAAAAAAAAAAAACTGACTACATTAGGCAGCAGAACAAAGTGTGGTCAGATCTCTAAATGTGCTGGGAACTCTCTTCTCCGCCAATGGTCAAGCTACTGGCCACAGCCCCCCCCCCCCCCCCAGACACACAGTTTAGTGTGCTGCTGTTGCTTCACCCCCCGCCTTCATAAGAAGAGTAGAGGGTATGTGGTCACTTATAAAACAGGGAAATAAGAGGTATTTATATTGCTTTACAAATATTTTGCTTTTCATTTACATTTTAATCGGAATGGGTGGTTTTACAAGGTATGGGTTGTTTTACAAGGTATGGGTTTACATATACTTTATGGTGAGAGCAGAGTGGTTCACACAAGGGACACACAAAACAGGTGTTTAGAATTACAAACAATGCAATATTTACACACTATTATGGGACTGATTATAATCATCATTTCACAGTGCTGGTTAATTATTAGTCATGTAACACAATTGTGTTTGCTTGCATGCTGGATTTTTTTTTTTTAATTTTGTTTGAAATGTTATTTGGTTTAGTTACAACAAGTATTTTAGTTTTTTAAGTAGCGTTGCACTGTACTTGATACTATATACAATATATTGCCAAAAGTATTGGAATGCCTGCCTTTACACGCACATGAACTTTAATGGCATCCCAGTCTTAGTCTGTAGGGTTCAATATTGAGTTGGTCCACCCTTTGCAGTTATATCAGCTTCAACTCTTCTGGGAAGGCTGTCCACAATGTTTAGGAGTGTGTCTATGGGAATGTTGGACCATTCTTCCAGAAGCGCATTGTGTGGTAAGCCAATGTTGTCGGATGTGAAGGACTGGCTCACAGTCTGTGCTCTAATTCATCCCAAAGGTGTTCTGTCTGGTTGAGGTCTGGACTCTGTGCAGATCAGTCAAGTTCCTCCACCCCAAACTCACTCATCCATGTCTTTATGGGCCTTGCTTGGTGCGCAGTCATGTTGGAACAGGAAGGGGCCATCCCCAAACTGTTCCCATAAAGTTGGGTGCATTTAACTGTCTAAAATGTCTTGGTATGCTGCTGCCTTAAGAGTTCCCTTCACTGGAACGAAGAGGCCAAGCCCAACCCCCTGAAAATCAACCCCACACCATAATCCCCCCTCCACCAAACTGTACACTTGGCACAATGCAGTCAGGCAAGTAGCGTTTTCCTGGAAACCGCCAAAACTAGACACACGTCCATCGGATTGGCAGACAGTGAAGCGTGATTCGTCTCTCCAGAGAAAACATCTCCACTGCTCTAGAGTCTAGAGTCTGCTTTACACCACTGCATCCGACGGTTTGCATTGCACTTAGTAATGTAAGGCTTGCTGCTTGGCTATAGAAACCCATTCCATGAATCTCTCTACGCACTGTTGTTGAGCTAATCTCAAGGACGCACAAAGTTTGGAGATCTTTAGCTATTGATTCTGCAGACTGTTCGCGATTTCTGCACACTGTGCGCTTTAGGATGCGTTGACCACGTCATTTTACATGGTCTACCACTTTCTGGCTGAGTTGCTTCCACTTTGTTATAATACCACTAACAGTTGACCGTGGGTTATTGAGTAGCAAGGAAATTTCAGGGATGGACTTATTGCACAGGTGGCAGCCTATCATGGTACCACGCTTGAATACACTGAGCTCATGAGAGCGTCCCATTTTTTCACAAATGTTTGTAGAAGCAGTCTGCATGCCTAGGTGCTTGATATTGTACACCTGTGGCCATGGAGGTGATTTTAACACCTGAATCCAATGATTTGGAGGGGTGTCCCAATACTTTTGGCAATATAGTGTATGTTGATCTTGAGTGATACTGTATGTGTATTCTTGAAAAAGATTGACTGGGCTTCATCGAAATGTTGAAATAAAAATGCTGCTGTTTTTGATTTACTTACTCTGAAAGACCCGTGAGTGCCTCTAAATTTGTTTTGGATTTGTATGGTTAATGTGGCGACACATGACAGTCTACCAAGCTACTACTTGTATTACAGAGGGTGATTATTGTGTGGGAGTATATAAAAAATTGATAACGTGTTTTTTTTTTTTTGTGGAGACCTAGCCAGCTTTATCTTGCCGAAGGGCTGTGTGACAACCCAGTTTTTTGTTGGAGCAATGGAGATCCTGTAAGTGTTACTGGTGCTCAGTTCTGATCTTCAGTGGCTAATATCAGTGTGTGTTTTCCCTTCTGCCAACTGGGGCATAGTTGTGTTGTATTTACATAATTTGTTAATCTGGGTAGGGAACTGAAAAGCATTCACTTCTGCCTAAAGGGTAAACATTTTCTTTTTTATGAAACTACATTATTAGTATTATGGTAAATGTAGGTAAAAATAACGCTTTGAAATTCTTACATTTTAATTTTATATTAGCTTGTAAAAAAGGCATTTTGCTACCCCTTTTAAAGCAATTGCTAATTGTTCAGTTTTAAACCTATTTGTGTTGTCCTGGCATCTATCTTTGATAGCATTTTAAGGAGAGAAGAGCATGTGATGAATTTTTAAAAGGACAGGGATAGGGTTATTGTCACAGTGAGCTCGAAAATGTACAATTTTTAAAGTTCCTAAGCCACTGTCCTTTGACCCATGGTAGTTATATGAAAATTAAGTATTGTGTTGTTAAGTATTGTTGGTATAAATATCCAGAGTGCAGGTTCTTCCTCCAGAGATCACCACTTTCTAAATCTTTCCCCCTCCACTCCACATATGATATAAAAGATAGGAAATGCAATTGTGCTTTTCCTTACAATAAAACTATTTTATTAAAAACTTAAACAGTGGTCACTCACATTCTTTAGGTGCTCATCGCACCAGATATAATACACATATAAAAATAACGTTGTAACCACAGGCATAGATATAAACTCTTCCACTCATCTGCTGTAACAGTAAATCTGTATGCGTAGTAAGCTTCGTGGCAATCATATCCCCAGGGAAGCCATGTGACCCTGTGACGCAACGCATAGGGGAGGGGCTAGATGACATCACA